CCTGGGTCAATTTTCCTCGGCTAGCCTCCGCGGGTGGAAGACAGATAGAGAATTAAACCATTAGATACCTACCCCTCAGCTAGAGGCTTCCCAATTCCAAATGATCGTCATCATATTGGTTTTTAGCCTGGAGTCCTAATGGACGAGCGCGCGTCGGGTTTCTGTCCCCCACCTCACTACCGAACCAACCTCGAGCTCTCGCTTCTCCCATTGGAGCAACCTGCTACCCCTGTTGGAGAATATCGCCTCCATCAAGGTACAATTCCCGACAGACGCTCCCGTGTTCAAGAGGGCCAGCTTCCGCAACACACTCCCTTTTCCTTCCTCGTCGAGTCATTTCCTTTTCGCCTTGTACATACTCCTCGATAATCTTTTGTAGTTCTCTCTTGTTACCATTTTCAGCGTTGGATACCCCTTCCGAAGGAGATCATCAATATGGCCGCAAACGTTGCTAAAGCCGATTCTGGCGTCATCCCCCTCATCATCAATAACGAGTCCGTCGTGACGGACAATGTTTTCGATATCCATGCACCTGCTACTGGTGAAGTACTGCATCAATGCGCCGGCGCCTCTGTCGACCATGCCAACCGTGCCGTAGCAGCCGCGAAGGCTGCTTTCCCTGCGTGGAGTAGGATGAAGCCATACGACCGCAGAGACGTCCTTATGAAAGCCGCCGATATCATGGTCGCTAGAAGTGAAGAGTTGATTAATTATCAGATGGAGGAGACGGGAGCTGGGAGGATGTTCGCGGAGAAGACGTGTCTTTTGGGAGCTGGCTTCCTCAAGGACTTTGCTGCTAGAATTCCCTCGATTGAGGGCTCGGTACCCTCTGTCACTCAGGACGGCGAGTGCGCAATGGTATTCAAGGAGCCGTATGGGGTGGTCTTGGGAATTGCACCCTGGTAAGACACATAGTTCGAGTCTGCTTTTGCGACGTCGCCTTCGCATAGATATTGACCTTTTGATTTTGGCAGGAACGCTCCGTTCATTCTTGGAGTTCGCGCCGTTGCGCTTCCCCTAGCTGCCGGTAACACCACCATCCTCAAAGGCTCGGAGCTGTCTCCCAAATGTTTCTGGGCGATTGGCGACATTTTCCGGGAAGCTGGTCTTCCCGCCGGATGTTTGAATGTCCTTTACCACAGAACTGCTGATGCGGCCGAGGTGACCACTGCTCTAATTGCCCATCCTGCCGTGCGCAAGGTGAACTTCACCGGAAGCACTCAAGTTGGTTCTATTATCGCTGCGACCGCTGGAAAGTATACCAAACCTGTTCTCCTCGAGTTGGGAGGCAAGGCGTCGGCTATTGTTCTGGACGACGCGAACCTGGAGAAGGCTGCGTTCTGCTGCGCTCTCGGATCTTTCATGCATGTAAGTATTGGTTCCCTGACGCCCTGAAATGCGTCCAGAAGGCTGACTTCAGAACCAGTCCGGTCAGATCTGCATGTCCACGGAGCGCATTGTCGTACAGCGCGCGATCGCAGACAAATTCCGTCAGCTGCTGGCTGAGAATGCCGAGAAGCTCTTCGGAAAAGCTGCGCCAGCACCAGTCCTGGTTGCCTCGGCAGCTGTCAAGAAGAATAAGGCGCTCGTTACTGATGCGCTCTCCAAGGGCGCCAGCGTCCTCTTCGGCGATGCAAACGCCACGGAGTCATCTGATCACAGCCTACGGCCCGTGATTGTGGACAACGTCACCAAGAATATGGACCTCTACTCCACAGAATCGTTCGGTCCGACAGTATCCCTCATTGTGGTGGATACCGAGGAAGACGCTATTGCGCTGGCCAATGATACTGAATATGGTCTTACATCGGCTGTCTTCACTGACAACTTGTTCCGAGGTCTTCGTGTGGCCAAGCAAATCGAGGCTGGGTAAGTCAATTTTCCCTTGATGTATTAGTTTTTTGCAGTTAGCTTTGGAGGCCCTGCAAGCAAAACAGTACAGTTGCTGACATCGCCGGCGCCATTTAGTGCCGTTCATATCAACTCCCTGACTGTCCATGACGAGCCCACCTTACCCCATGGTGGATGGAAGAGCAGTGGCTTTGGCCGCTTCGGAGGCGGCACTGCGGCCTACGACGAGTGGTTGCAAACCAAGACAGTCACCTGGACGCAATGATTGCTTCTTGTCATTTCTGTCATGCGGGGACGCGTATCGTGGACCCTGAGATATTCCCAACTTCATTGATGATCATGACACAATTACCTGCTAGCAAGCTCTATATATCCGGTAGTGACTCCCAAGTTCTAGCGTCTTGCGCAGTCCACGATAATAAAGCATACTTTGACTACACTCTATTTTAGAGTGTCCAAATAGAGCTGGATCGTAGTAGATTTATTGTTTCGCGTCAAGTCAGACCTCAAATTGACCTGTGCAAAACGTACGAGGGCAATAACTACGGGGTTACAGCAGACAAGACTGGGCTTGAATCGTCTCAATTTCTGACACATCTTGGAGACAGGACAGCTTTCTCTTAGTCGTAAAGGATTCGGATCTAGCGCCTAGAACATCCATAGCAGCGGTCCCTCGGCGGAATCGTGGGGCTGGACAGTGTACAGTGTAAGTCATTCAAAGGCACACAAGGCACAAGACATGGTCGGCATATGCCTATGTATTCAATGGTCTATGTATCACTTCTAGGTGCATCATTTTCTAGCAGGTGAGATGCAGACTGCAGTCTGCAGTGCTCTGTGTACGTATGTAGTTCATGCCCTATCGGCTATCTCGACTGACTGCATGATTGGGTCAACGCAGCGCACGTATCTGTTTAAGGGGCCAGCCCGGGATGAAAGGGATGCAGTGACATCCTGCGCTAGGACTGGCGCCAACTGGGAATTATTCCCTTTTTGCAGGACACAGGGCCAGCAGCCAGCATGACTGGAGGGCGATGTAGTTATCCAGGTAGAGTCGCAAGAAGAAGGTTCTTCACTTGCAGGTACATAAGACGAGTTGCAGGGGTTTACCTGAGCCTTGTTTTACTTCCTTTTCAGCTCGACTGTAATGGGCCAATAATGGCTGGCACAGTGGACATACACACTGCTCCGCCTCAGATCAACTCGTCATCCGCAATTTCTAGATTTCTAGTGGCGCTCGACTCCAAATGCTCCACCAGCCATGTCAGGAACAAGAAAGGAGCGACCGGAGAAATCGTTCAGGGACAAACATGGGATGACTTCATCGGGAATGATCATCGTTGGATCGGCCGGAATGAACTGTTATTGTTTACCAAATGAGTTGTCCATCTCTACCAGTAGTGTTGGACAATCAAGCTCTAAATCCACGTCGTGGATGCAAGCTCTCAGCTCGTGGAATCTTCCGTTTGTTTATCCTCCGTACAACAGAGCATGCTTACCTGACCCGGGGTGGAGGCTCATTCCCCATAAACTATTGGCCAGAATCCAGGGGTAATAATAGTCCCTATTTTGACTATTTTCCTGCAAGATCGCTTAAAGTGTATTTGTGTTAGTCCTGCCGCCTTGTGGCGTATGTCTCATTTAGATTCTGCAATTTGGATTCTTGGACACACCTAGAAGCCAGGCACTCTTCAGCGTCGTCACCCAGTCATCGAAGGATCAAGCTGGATCCTTTTATACGGGGGCAAATCGGATAATATCCGGAGTTTTGGTGAAGTAGGAGATACTGAGACAAGGTATCTAAGGAGTATCTAAGGGAGTATCTACAGGAGTCAAGATGATGTTGAGGGGTTGACAAGTTGAGGAAAAGGAGTGTACATACGGAGTACGAAGTACTGACCGTATGTCGGAAGATTGTACCTCTCTTACGGGGCACGGAATAAACATTGGAAATCGACACGTTCTTCATCATCATCATCAATTCATCGGATGTTTTCAACACAGGCTCCTGACTCTCGGACGTCTGATGCGTATACAGCCTCCCGTACTGCTCCTTCATCCGTACTCCTGAGGGGCTGAACCATGGCAATATCCTACAGTGAGCATTATCAATCACAGAGTACGGAGTGCCTATTTGTAAAATCGATTTTCTGTCGGTGTTCCCTATCCCCCACGAGAGGGTGGGTCATGGTGATACTAAATCCAGATTACAGTTCAGTGTGGCGCCGTTGATTCCTTGTCTAGTCCTACCTGCCAATTAGTCTATCCCCGATCACAATGACCATGCTGTTCTTTCTATCTGCCGTATTATCCAAAATAACAGTGTCCACCATCCAGAAAAACACGAACAAAAATTGTGAGAGACCTTGAAGGAAGGGTATAATCACGACTCGATGGTCAATGGCTATGATTGATGAGAAAAATGCAACTTGCTTGGAGCCTGGGACTCTCATTCCTTAAGGGTCAGGGACCCTTCAGGCCTACCACACAAGCTAACAATTCTAAAACATCTCCTCTTAGTTCCACCAGTCAGACGACTCAGAGGGGATACGAGGATTTCTTCCCGCCCTATTTGCCAGGGTCTCATTTTCCCATTCCTGCCGAGCGTCCATCATTCCACCGGTTGCCCAGCACCAGGGCAGGAGGAGCTCGAGAGTTTTGTTTCCCCTTAAAAGCTATTATTTTTATGGAGTATGTTGTGACACATATTCGACAATGGCATGCTCATTCGACCCACATCCGTGGTATGACCCGCAGATCCGCTCATGATGCCTGATAATATTCCGTTGAACTGGGCTGAGGCTTTTTGCTGGCTACTGGCTAGGGTGAATGCGAGGGCCGAGGGCCCCTCCTCTCATCATCCTTCGATCCTTCAAGGGGAAAACAATCTCAAGCTTAGCTCGAAATGATACTAGCCTACTGCACTTCAATTCTAATTTGAATCCTTGTCTCCCTTGCCCTTCATCTCTCTTTCTTCTTTCTTTCTTTCTCTCTCCGTCCAAAACTCTTCGCGTCGTTTATTACCTACGACAGCAGCCACTCTTTTGACCCCAGTCATTCATTTCGAATCTTACGAGATTTTTGAACTAGTCGCTCTTTTTGCGTAGCCTATTCGCCTTATCATCAAGGAACAAGAAAACCAATACAAAATGCGTTTCGTCACCGTTGCTATCTCTGCCCTTGTGGCCATGGCTTCCGCCTACACCCAGCCCGACTACTCCAAGTCTCCTCAGGGCAATGCCATCCTGAAGCCCGGTCTGAACGAGCAGGTTCCTGTCGGCAAGCCCTACACCATTACGTGGGAGCCCACCACTCAGGGCCCCATCTCCCTGGTCCTCCTGCGCGGCCCCAGCACCAACGTCGTTCCCCTCACTACCATCGTTGAGTCGATCCCCAACACGGGCTCGTACTCCTGGACTCCCAGCACCGACCTCGAGAACGATGTCACCCACTACGGTCTCCTGCTTGTCGTCGAGGGTACTGGTCAGTACCAATGGTCGACCCAGTTCGGCATCTCCAATCCCGAGGAGGCTGCCGACACTCCTGCTGCCAGCGTGACCCCGACCACCTCCGCCGCTCCCGAGGTCGAAACCCCCGCTGCTTCTGCTCCCGCTGGCCCCGATGTCACCCTCATCACCACCGAGACGACCACCTGGTGCCCCGAGTCCACTGCCAAGCCCACATCGATCCCCGTCATCGTTCCCACCGGTGGTCCTTCCATCCCCTCTGGCTCGCCTACTCCTTCTGCCTACCCCAGCAGCACTCTGATCAGCAAGACCTACAGCCCCAGCGGCCCCTCTGGCACGAGCCCGACTCCTAGCCTCTTCACTGGTGCTGCCGACCGCACCGCTGTCAGCGTCGGTGCTGTTGCCGCTGGTGTTCTCGCCGTCTTCGCTTTTTAAGTTTCTGCTCTCTTGGGGTCAAACTCCGTTCATGACCTGTAAATTCTTCGGTGGACATAATAATTCTTGACTCTGAGGGGCCGAGCTTTCGCTTCTACTTCGTTTGTGTTTCAGCATATCCTGGAATATACTCTTCGTCTTTTCTTTGTATTTGAACCTGCCATTGTAATGCGAGGTCTGCGCGGATATTGTTAGACAGGATTCTAATGAGATATGGCAAAATTGAGCGCATAGACTGGGTCACCTCTCGCCTCCACTAGTTCTAAGTCTCGGTGGTCATCTCCACGCTGAGGGGACTCTTGCCATCGTACACCATCCAATCCCACATGCGTTACAAGTCACACAGAATCTGAAAATCTGTCTTAGTACTAGTAGTATACTGACAACCTAAAATCTCAAATAGCCACATTCGCGACCTAGACCCATAGTACGGAAACCTCCCAAAACACCACTATCATCGAATCACGTGATAGATAACCCGATAAGCAATTTTCTCCAGCCCATGCACCGAAGCACCATCGCATCCGTCTCGTCCCAGTCCCGACAACCCTCTTTGAAATTCTTATACCATCCGTGCTGCTGGCAGTACACATACCCCTCCACCTCTACTACCAACCCAGTTCCACTTCCAGGAACCGAAAGCAATATGGCCCAAGGCCCCCTAAAGAAAACCAAGCCGAGCACGGCAAAGCGGTACGTGATCGTCTAACCACCCACAACCACAACCACAAACCGCAGAAACCTTGACTAGGACGTTACTGACGATATGACGAGATAAGGCCCACGGCACTAGCTCCCAAGCGAGGACCACGGCAGATTGCGCCCAAGAAGGCGACGCTGATTAAGCAGCAGAAGATTACGAAGGTTCGTTTTGGGCTTTGCCATTACCATGGACAGATCTTTGAGGGGTGGTGCCTGACTGACAGCGAATAGAAGCTTACGGCTGGGTTGACGGCGAAGACGGAGAGGAGTTTGGCGCAGAGGGCGGGACACCTTGAGTTGCTTGCTGGGGGGAAGAAGGATAAGAAGGCGGAGAAGGAGAAGGGGAAGGAGAAGGGGGGGAAGAAGAATTGAATTGTCGTCGATTCGATCGATCGATTCAGATAGTGATACTTAGTGATACGATTAATGAAGTTTAGATACCCTGTCTACTGGTGATGACTATGTAGGTAAACAGGTGGAGGATTATCATAAGTATTCTATATATATCTCATGAACTTATGTAAAAAGCAGTATGTACAAAAATGATAGAATCATCACTCGTAGAGAGGCAAAGACAGAAATGAAAAACGCTTCATGGGTATCGTTATCAAACTCCAGTTCCAATCCGTCAACAATTTTTTCCAAGCGACTGTTTGCTTTTTTTTTTTTTCCGTGCTCTAGGAGTCGACACCTAGATCTTTGAGACGCGGTTCGGAACACCAGCTTGCTCAATGAGTTCGCGGCCTCGTTCCATCCAGTTCTTGAATCCATCTTCGCTAGGGTCCAGGGGGAAATCGTCCCACACGGCATTTTCTGAATCAGCGTAAGTGGACCAGACACCCTTGGGCACATCGGCGGTCGACCACGAAGGAAGTTTCGCCTGCACACAAGTGTAGTAGACATAGAGAATTCGGCAAAGCAGTTCGACTCGATCCTCATAATGCTGCTTCGATGGGTCGGGCTCGCGACCGCCGTCCCCCAGGCGCTTCCACCAGGACACTCGCCACCGGAGAGACAGAAGGATATGTCCGAGTTGACTCAGGAAACGCAGGTGTGTCTCTTGAGAGATCTGTTTCCATTTGATGTTGTAAAAGTCCCTTTCAAGCTTCCGGAACCCTTCAACCTCCAGCATGCGGCAGACAATCCGCGACAGCTGCGCCGCTAGCAGAATCTCGCGTTGATCTTCCGGGTTGTGGATGTCCATGGGCCTTTCTTGGCCTCCACCTTGCAGGGGAACGAAGCTATAGCTGGCACGACTAGGCATGTTGTTCCATTGTGAGAGTAGAGACTAGAATTGAAGTCAGTCAAGGATACAAGGATAAGGATGGCTTAGTACTTACGTAGATATTGTTCATCGGATCGCAATCTCTGACACAGCTCAGCCAATTCTTGGACTTGTCTTTCGACTCCACAATCCGACGGTCGATGAATTCGAGAAAGGTGGATCGCGAGTTACCATTGTACTCGCTCAATGATTTCAAGAACTTGTACGTCTCTGCCAAGTCCAACACGTACAGTGATCCCCATGCTTGGCTGGCACGGATGTTGAACCGTCCTTGCCGCTCGCTCAGGAACGTCAAAAGGTCATTCAAGTCGAATTTGGATGGTATTTCCATCCGGACCCGACCAGAGCGGTCCACGGTTGGGTGATTGACAGCTCGTTGAGCTAATTGTTGTTAGTCAAAGAATGTCCGCTACGATCAAAGGGTCGAGTACGTACAGATATAATTGCAAGTTCCATATTCGACAATGTTCGCAAAACAAGCACGCGCACATGGCTGCTCGTGTAGGGTAGGGCGACAAGCGTCGCATGGAGAGCTTCCATCGCACTACAATCATCAGCTTTCTGTTACACGAGACCAAAACAAGCCCGAGACAGGTCAAACCAACCTTCCGCTTGTTCAAGCGGCACTGGACACAAGTATCCTTGTTCTTCCTCCGCAATCCAGCATTGGCCCTGCCAACCATGCTCAAAGGCCCCTTGCGGCGTGCTCCACGAGGCGGAGACACAAAATCAGCGGAGGCAATGGAACCCCCTTGGCCGTCCTCTTGGACAATCTGCAGTGGTTTCGGCAAATTCTGGTCAATGCTAACGTTCGAGGTACGCTGCTTGCGCTTTCTGACGGTAGCCACCGATTGCAAAGCTAGTGCCTGAGACCGGCCAGAGGCTCGTTGCGCAGCGGTCGACGAAGCCCTCGATCTGCTAGGAGCAGTCATGAAGAATGACTCTAGGGGGTTCTCGCTGACCACGAATGCAGTGGCACCCTGCAGCGGCTGCGAGGTCGCAGACGAAGACTCCTCCTTCTGCTCATCCTTCCAAGCACCTTCGTCTTCCAGCTGTCGTTCTGCAAACGCCGGCACATCATCACTCAAGCCCGAGTAGGAGCAGTCGTAAACTCCTGAAAGATCACCAGAAACGGAAGAGCTCTCTGACTTGTACTGAAATGCGTCCTGAACTCTTCTGTCATCTTTAGGTAAGGAGTGGTCTTGACAATTTGTCGATAATGAGGCAGGCGAAGTTAGGTTCGTAGGCAGTTGAGATTCGAGGCCTTCAAGCCAGCGCGATTCGAGTGGGCGCAAAGAGCCCTGGAAGCCGCGAGGCTGATTGATTATCTGGGTTTGTACCTGTTGTCCCATCTGAGGAGCGGGGATAGGTGCTTGCGCCGACGTATTCGAATTGAGATTGGCAGGCGGCTCGGCCCAGGGATCAGCGGCGAATTGAAACGCTTGAGAAAGATTCTGGAAAGTGAGGTACTGCTCTGCGTGAACCTCTGGAAACCCTTGTCCGTTGGACAGCTCTCCTCCATCGTCGACGATAACTGTGTTGTTAGAGGTCGGGTCTTTCGCGTAAGGATAGGGCATAGGCGCGTCCACCGGCAGTCCAGCCGCCATGGAGTTGATGAGCTGGAACTGCGGCCATGTCTCATCGACGTGAAAGTTATCATCAGTCGAGGAGGGCAAGGTTCTGGGGCTCACGGTCCCGCTGATGGTGCCTTCGATCGCGGCATCCGCGACGCTGAACTTCTCGGGCGAGGTGAGACCTGGGTTGCTGCAAGCATTTCAAGATCCATCAGCTACTTCTATTGCGAGCATCGCAGACTGGATAGGAGACTCTGCGCTAACCTGGGGTCGGAATTATGCCCAAAGACGGACGCGCTGGGCTGATCGTTGGCCAGCGAACCATGTAGAACACCTAGATCCACAACATCTGCTTCATCCTGATTTGAGTCTGGACTGGTATCCCACTCGAATTGCTGGTCGTAGCCGGCGTGTTCCCACGAAGCGATCGAAAAAGCGGTATCGGATTGCCAATTGTCGAGTATTTTGGGGTCAATGCCCGCAGCTGCGCCAGCAGTCCCGCAGTCCATACAGGGGATATACGAAACCGAAGTCGAGGAAGGGAAACGGCGATGACCCCTCGAGTTAACAGTAACTCAAGAGGGATGTGTCTTTCTATCCGGCAAAGATTGTCGGGTCGCAATCGACGAAGCGGGAAGACTTGACTCTTCCTGGTGCAAGTGAAGCGCGAAGGGAGATGAGGATGGAGCGGAGTATCTCCAGATCGCCTGGAGACCAAACGGAGACAGTCGAGACGATGATATAAGAGCGACTGAAGAGCGAGAGCAGGGATTGATGACAATACTAATAAGAATAAGAATGGTCGGGTGGTGAGGACAGAAATGTGATACAGTCAGTGTGTTGAACCCGGGTTGGTTGAATTGATGGTGTTCCCCACCAAAGATTTTGCGGCGATCGGCCTCCGATGTGAAGCTTGCAGCGGGACAGGCTCACTAATAATATGATGGCGTGCTTTGATAAGCTAGCACTGGCCCAGAACAGAGGGAAAATGAAATTATTTGGATGGCCTGTTATATCTGGTTCTGTGGCAGCGTGTCACTGTAATAAAGGGGTTTGCATGAGAATGAAGAGGGGCTACAACGACTCGTTTTAATCCTCGTTTTACGGTCCAAGTCAGCTGCCAGCGATTCTGGAAACCTCCGACGTCCAGGATGACTCCTACGTCGAGTACGGAAAGAACGGATCGATGCTGCGTAAGAAGGCGAACTATTATTATTATTCTATCTGCCTTGTCTTGACAAAAGTCAAGGGGGGCGGAGGGATTGGACCACTGAAGGACAGGAAGGTTGAGGACCTGGGCGGGCACGAGGTGGATGAACTCCGTGCAGATGGTTCAAATTGCCCGGCAGACTCGCCTCAAAGCAGTGATGGTCATTCGCCAATCTCTCGGCGTTGCCAGTATCCCTTGGTCTGATTTGGTTTTCCTTTCCTCAAGGGCTCTCCTCTGCACAGTCGGCGGAACCCAAATAATCACTTAAACGATGGGTGACTCGCTGAGGGGCATTCATTATTACGTACCAGTGTGTCAAAATCCAGGGCGCACTGAGGCACAAACCTAAGATCCAATCGTTCCTTGTTCCAACTCTGATATTCTCACGGATGAAGCGGATTACGCGACATAATCATCTCATCAAAACCTGATACGGAAAAGGGTTGCCCGATAGCCGCTCCCTCTTGCTTTTTTGTCTTTGGTGCAGAATTAGCTTCTGGCTCTAGTATGTCTGGTTCGTGGTTGAGTTGATTTGAACCATACTTGTGCATCTTCTGGAAGTGTATTATTAATGATAGTATTTTCCATCATGCACCAGTTGTCTACGGAGGACAAGCTCTTCTATACTACTACCTATTTAATAATAGAAGCATCCAAGAACAAGGCTTTGATAATGATGAGCGTCTGCAGATGCCTTTTGACTCTTACTCCATACATGGATCCAGATGCCACGCTGTCTCTTGAACCCTACTCTCACAGTAACTATTTGTGTAGACAGGATATTGGATGTGCATAAAGACCCGTCAGTCTACTATTAGTTAGTGCGCTAGAACTTTATAATCTGCAAACAATTTGACCGTCCTTGCCCCTATCGATCCTTGATCGATGACAACTTCATGATCGACTGAGTCAGACAAGACTTCACTTCGAGTCTTGAACACGAGCAGCTGACCATTTCTTTTCTTTTACTAATATTATGTAGCGGAGTATCCGAGGGAAACAAATTTCCTTTGCGCTCCAATTTGTCCGTCTTCACCGCAGCCTCTTTTTGGTTGCCATGAGGTTGCGTCATGTCATGTTCCGTACAGTATGTTACCTTCCTGCTGCCCTTGACATCACCCAAATACTTAACGATACTAACGTATAGTACATGCTATGACATTCTTTCGTTACAAAAATGACTGATGTTGATTATGAGGTTCTCCTAGGTAGGCACACTTCCGGACCCCCGCAGCGCAAAACAGCTTCACCGTAACCACATTGGAGGTTCCCCGGTATGTTTTCGGTAGTCGGGATAGGTTGAGAAGGCTCTCCAGGGCTCGATCATTACCGAGCGCAATGTCTCTTATAAATACTATCTCTTCCAGTGTCAAATTGGAGGTGCCGTAGAAAAGATAACGATCATATCTGCCCGTGGGGGGTCGTTCAACACTTCTCCGCATCACATTCCAGCCAAAAGGACGCTGGTTCAGCAAACCGGATCAAGGGCAACTGCTCCGTAGGATCTTTCAGCGCTCAAGGTACTATTGGCAATTAGCATGCATATATTGGTAAGTTACCTTGCTCTTTTTCTGTATCACCGTGCGCTCAATACGCATTGGCGCATGGAGATTGGCGAGTCTCTAAAAAAGAAAAGAAAGAAAATACTCATTTGATCCTTATCCCAGGTTGTCAATGACGACGGTCCGCCCTCGCGGCGCCTGTCTCCATACATCCGCCCATTCGTCGATGCCCTCCAGGCCGCCGGCCATCAAGTCTCCGTCGCAATCCCAGCGAGATCTCGGTCTTGGATCGGCAAAGCACACATAATCGAAGCCGCGCTAGAAGCGACATATGTGCCCCCAGACGCCTTCCGGGAAGATGGAACATGGGACGAGGCGCACGAAACCCACGACGAGAACGAGCCGAATCGCGAATGGGTCGTCATCACAAACGGCACACCCGCCAGCTGTACCCAACTAGGCCTGTTCAACCTCTTCGCCGACCGAGGCCCCATCGACCTTGTGATCTCGGGCCCTAACCACGGCCGCAACGCTTCAACGATCTACAACCTCTCCTCGGGGACCGTCGGCGGCGCCCTGGAAGCCGCTATCTGCGGGAAGCGCGGGATCGCCATCTCCTTCGGCAGCAAGGATGAGCAGCCGATCGAGGTCATCCGCGCCGCGGCCAGGCTCGCCGTACGCGTCGTCAACCACCTATACCAGAACTGGGACGAGCGTGTCGAGCTGTACAATCTGAATGTGCCAATGCGCGCGGACGTGGAAACCAGACCGGTCCGCTATACTCGCACTCTACCCTACTACTGGTCGAAGGGCTGTCTGTACGCCGAAGTGTCCCAGGCCAACGGCCATTCCGCGCCGGGGTTGACGAACGGAACCTCGAACCACTCAGACGAAAAGGCCGCGAATCTGTGTAATGGCTCGGCCACAAAGGCCGTGAATGGATTCGGTGGCTCGCACCTCAAGAAACGCAATTTCGCCTGGTCGGCGGAATTGTCTGAGATGAAGAAAGCTCTACAGGCAAGCGAGGAGGGAACTGATGCGCATACGGTTCTGAATGGAAGTACTAGGTTAGCATCGCCTATCATCTTCCGTCCATTGGATGGTACACCCCGTTTGGAGAAAGCTGACTGTCGAATACAGTGTTACTCCCCTTACCGCGAACTTCTCGCATGTTTCTGGTCTTGATGGACCCTTGGAACTTGATGATTGATTGACTCATGAACATGAAAAATTAGACGATAGATAGATAGATACCCGCAAAGGTTCATTTTTCTTTTTTGCATTGTCACCACTTGGCTTCTTGCTGAATCATGCCATGCTCGAGAACCAGTAGACGTTTGTCCCTTCTGGATCTCGACCTGAAAGAAATCCGATGGTTAACCTACCTCATTTTATTCTTAGTTGCTTCGACCAGCGGTATTCAACACGAGGCAGGAGTGATTGCGTTTAATACTCGGCTGTTAGTCTGCGCAAGCTGTACATTAACAAACACTCGATCTACGCAACTACGCTGCATGTAGTCAAACGTTACCTTGTATAAAAATCCACGCGAAGTAAGAACATGTTCTTATTGCAACTACTTACAATACAAAGCTAAATAAGGAAAGAAGCAAATACAAAGTGAGCTCGTCTTAGCTTCGCCAGGATGGCTACTAGACTCCAGCACCACGGTGAGGTGCGAGCTCGTCGCTGGAGGCCTGCCATCGATTCCTCGAGGATCCAGATGAACAGGCACCTACTGGCCAGGTAGGATTTTGGAGACCCCTCAGTTCCCACGGGAATTTGTTACTTTGACCCCCAGATCCCTCAGTTCCCACAGGTTTGTAAGTTTGACCCCCAGATTCCCTCAGCTGCTCCATTAGTATCCAGAACTCGGCGAATCCAAAGGCGGTTTGCTTGCTGTGTTGATGAGTAGTTAGACTCTGGGTGTTACCCCTATAGGCTATACCCCCCTTGGGAGGGCCACACTGTGCCCTGAAGATGAGAGAGAATAAGTCAGCAAAGAAAGTCATCACAAGAGCGACTTGAAAACACGGAAGGAAAACTCACTGGCAGGTCAAAGAAGACGAAACATCGGGAATGGGAAAGTCTTAGTCGGATTGCCCGAGTGACTGTCGAGGTTAGCAAGCTGAGAAAAAAAGAATGAGGAGGAAGACACATGAGTGGGAGTAGATGCTTACCTGTACCCAGGTTTCTCCTCGAGCAGTGCCGTATGATTGTATCCCACCATTGGACGTCTCCGTTTAAATGGCTGCAATAACAGCTGGGCCAGCCTGATTGCCGGGATAGCACAAGCCTCCATAGCAACACATTCTCGAGGGAAGAACTTGCCCTTTTCTTCGAGCAGTGCCGTATGACTTTGTCCCACCAGTGGACGTCTCCAGCGGCTGCAGTTTACAACTGACGCTGTAGGGACTGCTGGGAAACAACAAGTCTTCATAGCACACATTCAAGAAGGAAAGGCCGATGATCGCAACAAGGACAAGTCAGCAGAGGTGGACTTGTATTAGGCTTGCGCCTGGTGAGGAAGAAAAGAAGAAGAAGAAGAGAAGGAAGAAGAAAGGGGGAAGAAGAGGTATAAATAGTCGAGGTGCAGAGGCTGGCTCGCTTACAGTCTGGAAGGTATTCACTAAATTCATTCACTATGATGCGTATGTACTGGAAAATCCGGTTCGCTTCAGGCAGAAATCCCTGCTTCTCTGGCTCAGTGACTCAGAGCAGCAGTAATGTGTTGTTCATAGGTAAATATTTACAGGAAATGAATACTTTTAACTGATTCTACAAAAATATTGCGTCT